TGATAATTCTAATGCAACACATATGTAAGTCTTGAAGTTTGAACAACTTTGAATGAAATGACGTCACAACTCTGTTGTGAACGAGTCACTAGCTAAAGAGAAACATTTGCAAATTCTTTTTTATGAAAGATAATGCAAGCATATGATACCAACACAGATATTCAAACATACCTCTTAGGAGTCAGTTAAACGCTATCTCGTTGTAGCACGCTTTTGAATTGACCCATGCTTCAGTTAGGACTTTTATGGGTTGTAACGTGGCCTGGTTCACGGTTTTAGAAAAAAGGATTTAAGGCTCAAAATTATTTGGTGCCCACCCATTCTCCATGATGTTCTCCATTCCTACGTTCAGTTGACCTGATATAAGCGTTCATCTCTCGAGAAGAGTTTGCGATGATTGAGGAACCACAGTGGTTTCTTGGACACGACAGTCACTTCACCTTTTGCTTTTGGTGTCTGATCACACGACTTTGTTCTTTGATGAGGATTTTCATTGGTAATCCTTTTCTCGCCTTTTGGGCTTTTCGATTTCTTTCTTGCTTTCCCTAATTTTTTCCTGGACAAATTCTTTTGAATTTCGATTTGGAAGTCCAACGGGATGCCCCAATTTTTGCCTAAGCGACTTGTTTTCAAGTTTTGACTTAGCAAGGATTTATGTTTCTTTCTTATTTGTATTTTTTCATTTTGAACAATTCATTGATCTTCGCGTTGTTTTTGATTTTTCGGAAGTGATCGTGACTGTCTGAGTCTTTGATAGACGAGGGATAGTCATTTTTGTATTGTCATCTGTGGACCTCCTGATGTGCGAGAGATATCCATTGGGATATTGTCAATAGATGCACGTTGCTGATAGATAAGGGTTAACCATTGTGGTTTTGACTTTTCTCAATCTTTTGATGGATAACCATTGTTGTATCCTTGGATGCACACTCTTGATGAGTTCTGAATGCTTGATCAGATTAGCTGAACACTACCCGCCCCAGGGTTGAAATGAGGGTTCTTTTTCTGAACAGAAAGGAAACTCCTACTTCGAAGGCTCAGAGGGGTTAACAAGGGTTTATCTCCCTTATATCTCCGGTGTTTAGGAATTGAAACAAGGCCTGTACATCGTCAGCAGGGTCCTACTCAAAAGCATACCAACCAGAGATTTTGCGTTTTCAGATTATCGTCATCCTCCTCCTTTGAATCTTTACCTAAGCATAAGACTAGGAAATCTGGCATCAATATGCAAGTAATAACGAATGGATGAGTAGAAATGAAAGGAACACTTCAAGACAAGCATACTTATTGCATTAAGATTTTCGTTCAAAAATAGACAAGTTTCTATATACAAGCGATGTTTAAACAAACAAGCAAGAATGCAAATGAAAATGCAGTAAAGAAACCAATGATTTCCATTGTTGAGGAGACTTGACTCCGTATGGGCTTGCTGATTCTGACGACTTTCTGTAGCCTTGATGCTCGAGTGTGCGAGAGAATTCCCCTTTCAGATCTGATGTGAGCATGACAGTCTCTGAATTGATCCAGTCTTGGACTTGGTCTCTAGATGACATACCTTCTTCAATCGATTGGCCCGATGCCCCAGTTTAATATGCATATAAGGTTCTTCCAGGAGAACAAAAGAATGATTTACCCAGCGAATTGGTATAAAATGTACCACTCGGAGTTATTCCATAACTGATCTCTGAGCATGTGCGGTGAGAAATCAAGTTGAATCTTTGAAGATAACCCCAGGTCTGAATAAGAATCCCCAATCTTCGGGTACCTGTCATGAATGAATGAATATGCATGGTGTGCATGAATGAGTGCCATGTCATGTTCTATCATTACCAAGGAATTTGCGTGCTTTGATTTTGATTTTGCGCAAGTAAGGGATGGAAGAGCTTAGCATAATACTTGCAAATATGATTCCTTGAAAATAACAGAACATGTATGTTAAGCATGTGGTTAGCCATGTCATGTATGCAAAGGCATGAGATCAAAGAGGATCAAGATTCCATCATTCCTGAATTAGATTGCTGCACTGCTTTAAACCATGTGAGTATCATCAGATCAAAGGTCCGACATAGCTTCTGCATATATAAGAACCAAGTACCATGTGGATCTCCCATTGTACGGGGTCAAGGCTTCTGGAAAATCGGATACTATTGAGAATTTATGAACATGCTGGGAATACCAAGATTGAAGGCTTGAATGAACCTCCAGGTAAACAAGTCAGGAACTCAGAAAATAAATCTGAGAACCATACGGTCACCAACAGAATATAGCATCTGCATAAAGTCATAACAGAAATCCAGATCATAGCCATTAGAACCAATAGTCACTTTCTGAGCATAGTGACCATCCGAGCATGAATAACCATCTGAACATATTCACCATCTGTACCTGTGATAGAAATTCCCTCCCCGTTCACGGGTGAAAACTAGGTCAGGGTAAGGCAATGGTAACTCAGAATCGAGGGTACTCCTGAAAAACTATCGCCGTATCACCTAAGTGAAAACGATAGCCCCTCATTTGTACCTCATCTGAGCGTGGACGACATAGCGGCGATAGTGAGACCTAAGTCAACTAGCCGTTCATGTTCCACTCTATTCCTAGGGTTCCTATGGTATACAACTCTGGCCTGGGTATTGGGCCTTTTACCTCACAGTAACGCCCACCCAATAAGAAGCAGATCCAGTACAACAATAGTATATGGAAGACAGTAAAATGCAATGCATACATATGCTCAAGTATATACAAACTGAATGAACAAAATGAAAGCATAAAGATAAACACCCAAATGAAAGAAAGCAAGAGCTAGGAGCGACTCCGGGATGGACCAGCATTTGGTCGACCTATCCCCAGTGAAGTCGCCAGCTGAAACAACCGGCTGAAAATCATCAAAACAATGAAGTCGCCATCGAACGTCTTTTATCCCACATGTAGGGAAAGGTAAACATCGAGAAAACCTGAGAAGGGAGAAGTCACGGCCTTGCGACCGAGAGCTCGGGTAAGGGAGTCTGTTACGCGAGGGGAAGGTATTAGCACCCCATACGCCCGTAGTACTCTACGGTATCCACTCTTGTTATCTATCTTATGGGTGTGTTTAATCTATGCTTACTGTCTACTATACTACTGAAAGGAATGCATGCAAAAGAAAAGAGAAAAGAATGTAGGGAAAATAAAATTGTGCTCGCCTGGGCCCTACCCCAATGCCTACGTATCCTTTTTGAGGAATCAGAGCTACCGTAGTTCGGCTCACATGTTTTTGTTTGTTTGTGTTTTTTATGGACAATGTTAATTCCGCCTTCTGCCGCAGCTCGACCTTTGGAGACTTATGCGTTGACACAGAAGTAAATTAATCATGTCCTTACCTGAAAAGGGTTTTAGAGAGAAGGTGCTCGAGCGCACAAAACGGTTTGAATTTGTTTTGTATTTTTGTTACCTTGAAAAAGGGTTTAACTATGATTAGCATGTTTTTGATTTGCTAAGAAGAGAAGTTTTTGTTTTAGATGCACATGCAAAAGGGGGAAGAAAAGAGTCTAAGGGAGACTAGCCTATTTCTAAACCTAATGTTATCATGCAATAGTAGTCCTACGTCAAGGATGAAAGGGGAAGTTTCTACCTAATGTCAGTATGCATGGTTTACAACCTAAGGTCTAACTTGTGTTCGAACGGAGCAAGCGCATCCTAAGGGAACATGGTATGTATAAGGATAAAGCAAACAAGCCAGCAAAAAGGAAGCACACCTAAAGGGATCCTGCCTAGGTTAGCATGTCGAAGAAAAGTCAAAAAAATATCCTATAGGGAGCATGCAATGAGAGCGAAGTCGTGATCTCAATTGCTAAATTGAGTGACTCATCGATCAACAAGAAAGAATGGAAAGCGATAAAGTCTTATAGGGAGCATGCACTGACAGTGAAGTCGTGATCTCAATTGCTAAATTGAGTGACTCATCGATCGACAAGAAAGTAAACAAACACAAGCACAACACATATAGCAAATGAAGTGCGGAATGCCTGCTACAGGTCTTTAAACAGCGACTTCGAGCGCACGCTCTTTATTTCCTACTTCACATGATATCTAGAAAGCAGTAAAGTGCTGAAATGAGATAAACAAGAGAGAATACCAAACAGATATCAATCCGTAGCAAAGCCTATCAAAACAAAGAAACCCGACGACCTTCGCGAAAGCTTCACCAATCAAAGAAAAGAGTCAGAAATCAAATGCTTGGAATAAATGTCGATGCATCGTCGATGTGAAAATAAATCACAATCGAAATCTCAAGCGCATTCGCATATCGCACAATAAACCTGCATAAGACTCAAATCTCAACAAGAAAAAGTGAATTACCGATCTCAAATATCATCGGACAATCAGAATTAAATTCCTAAAATCTCAAATAAAAACTAACAAATTTTTATATTTGAATTTATTATTTTTTAGATTTTTTATAGACTAAAGAAAAATCGAAAATTATGTACTAAAACGGATAAGCGTCAAATTTATATAGAATCTGCCAGGAGGTGTATAACCAAATCTCCTATTTGCACTAATTCTAGTCAAATGGGCATTCAGATCCATTAATAAGGGAGTGTAATCACAAATTTATTAGGCCCAAATTTGAAACTACTCTTAAGCCTGTTTGCTCCAAAAACAATAACCTTCCAACTTTTTTTTTGCTCATTTAATATGCCACGCCCCTTTTTTTTTGTGTCCAACCATTTGCATTTCTTTACTAAGCTGCAGATAAACCACAACATAAATGTTCTTAAAAAAAAGAAAAAGAAAAGCAATTCCAGTAATAAAAGAAACGCGATTTGATTGGCTAATGATGAAGATTCATGAACTAATGAGAATCAGCCATGTCTAAGGAAAATATTCATATCACAAAACTAGACGGCGGCTTCCACCACCTTCTCCGGTGGTGTATTCGTCGGTAGTGATGGAGCATGAACGAGAAAAAAAAGCCAAGCCGACGACACTCTCCCACTCGATTTTGTCCATAAAACGTAAAGATGAGCTTCAAATTTCCAGATCTCTATTCCATCATACCATATCTCACAACTCAGAAATCCAAGATCTCACCATGTATTCTTGCTGCACAAAGCGTACCTCCGAAAGAAGGACTTCTAGACGTCGCTTACATTGATGCTACTAACAAGCGATTAAGATCTAGCAGGATGCACAAGATTAGAGGAGAGTTTCAAGAAGATTTACCTAAGCGAAGACCACTTCTCTTTTCTTCAGATAACTCCGCGACTGCTTTCGCCTGCCTTCAATATGATGAACATGATCCAAATATTCTTCAGATTTGTGATGAAAGCGCGAAAGCCGACTTTGAAGCTTGAGGAAGATGATGCAGAACTGGGCGATACGGCGTTCTTGAGGCCAAGTAAAAGTGAAGCAAAGCTTCCTTTTGTAGAGAAGAAGAAGGAAATCTCAAGGTTACGGACGATCGATCGAGAGAGATGGTAAGAAACGACTATGCTTCAGAGATGCAGTCTTGAGGCATTCATCCCGAACAATTCGGTCATGATGATGATTTTGAAGATGAAAGAAAAAGAGTGAGGTTGTTACGGTAGAGAGCCAGTTTTTTGTTCCGATTTCTCATGGTTGAAGATGATAGATGGAGGAGAGAGAGAGGTTGAGGTCCGTTTCTGTTATGGTGGTTAATGTCATGGAAAAAAGAAAGAGAGAGTGGGAGTGTTACTGTTATGAAGAGGGTGAGGTTGTTGCCAATGAGAGAAAGTTTGTTACATTCTGTTATGAGCCAAGTTATTCTTGTTACCGTCGCGAGCATGAGCCAAAACTTTTTTTGTTGCCGACAGTTTGTTACGGTCTTTTGGATTAAATAATAGCAAAGGCTCCTTATAGTTACTATCATTATACATGCAGTAAATCATTGCATGGCCATCAAAACTGTCATCCCATGCATACGGAATTATGATACAGTAGCCTTTTTTTCAAAAGATTATGTTATTATGCATGGTCACATGACCGCCTTCATGCTTGTATATCTTGCGCTATAACACTCCTTTCGGCGCGATCTTGATAACATTAAAAAGAGGACGTATCAAGGAACATTCTTCGTGTTGGCCTCGCCTCGAAATAACGACCATAGCCCGTCCTAAGATGGTCCTGAAATTATGAAACCGTAACTGAAATAAACACCGGAAATTCTGTCATTACCGACAATTTCCCGTCAATGCTCCAACCTCCTTTTCATGATTCAATAACTCGAGATATAGCATTCTTCAAGATAAAGTCTCAACATAAAAGTTGAAGAGTGAATTTCCCTAAACAACATTCATGTTGGAAAATTTCTTGAGCTAACTCTCGAAACATAAAAAAAATGATCGTGAAGCCGTGGTACCAAAACTGTTTGCGATAACTGGAAACTCACCATGCAGAACTCAATTCCATCACCACGACTTCAAAATCTCGTAACTTTCCCAATGATGATCCAAACGCCATAAATTTGATACCGTTGGAAAGAGGTCAAATGATAGAACAAGTTCACAGTTTGCTTCCAATCCGGACACGGCCTTAATTGTAAAGAAAAATGCCATAAGTATATGCCTTGCAACTGTTCGAAAAAATGCCAGGCTTGGCATTACAAATTCCATGCGTGGCACCTACCTCTCGTCCTCTTCAATCCTCCTACTTTGTGCTTCGATATTTGTTTCCACGGTGCACAAAACAAGACGAAGTTTGAACCAAAAATGAAGAGTGTGTGACACACTCCAACTTTCATGTTCGACATATTTCGAAACGAGACGTAAATCCATGATAAAAACGTCCTAAACATGTGCCTTCCACCTGCTCGATGAAATATTGGCCAGGCAAGGCAAGTCTTGGCAGCATTTTACCTTTCAAGCCTTCAAAACGTAAACATCATAACTTTCTCTACGAACCTCCGAATAGTACGATTCTTGAATCAAAACTGGAGAGGAGAATCTGATCTTCAACTTTCATGTTCGGAGAGTTTACATTTGAGTCTAAACGGGACCTCAAAAATAGCCATGAAGTTTACCATATTTTGAAAAATCTTCTAAAAATTATTAAGAGCCCATATCACTAAAAATGCGAGAAACTTCAAATTCGGCCGATTCTTTTGATTTTTCCCAACAACGCAGCAAATTTCCTCACGTTTGGGACCTTTAACAAATAACCTCGATCAAAAACTCCTTTAGTCGGTTTTTTTCCTAGTATGAATAGTTAGAAAAATTGGTTATGGATTTTTCTAGACTTCCTGTTATAATAGTTAGGGGGTTAATTCCAACTTATTGTTATTTTTTTCCATTATTTTCCTGATACAAATTCTTCCTATGCATTCTCTGCTACGCTGCATAATTTCCTCTCTCATCATGTTTTTTTCCATCCATCAAACATCCAGTAAAAATGTTGACAAACCCGAGTAAAATAGGATATAAAACCTAGATTCCTAGCTCTGAAGAGGAAAACCCGGTGACCTGCTGTTAACATGGAGATAATAGCTTCGTAGCTTAAGGAGAAGGAAATATCAATAACCACAAATCACAACCTTAATGCCTCTACAAAAGGAATCGACTTTTACTGGATATGAACGCCTTAGCCACTGCAGAACCCTAATCCTTCAAGATCTCCGATCTCATGCCAAATTATGTTGTTAGCGAGTGTATGCAATGTTAAATGACCTAATGGAGATACGTACATGAGAAAAGTGCGACAATGCATAAACCAGATAAAAGTAGAAGGGTGGGACAAATTTGGGGTATTACACCAGGTCCCCAACTTGATACTCTTGTCGTCTGACTTTCTTGTTAAATGCTTTGATCATCCGTTTTTGGTATGTCTGACCATGACAAACAGCAGTAAGTCTTTTTTTGTCGATTAGATTCAGTTGATCAAGTCGGGTTTGAATCCAGTCATATTCACTCAAACCTGCATCCTCCATGATCCGAAGATAGGGTATCTGAACTTCAATCGGCAAGACTGCCTCCATGCCATAAACCAAAGAATAGGGTGTTGCCCCTGTTGACGTCCGTGCTGAGGTACGCTACCCGTGAAGAGCGAATGGTAACATCTTATGCCAGTCTTTGTAGGTCACCATCATCTTCTGCACAATCTTCTTAATGTTCTTATTAGCCGCTTCTACAGCTCCATTCATCTTCGGACGGTAGGGAGAAGAGTTATGATGTTGTATCTTGAATTGCTCGCAGAGCTCAATGATCATTTTGTTGTTAAGATTGGTACCATTGTCCATAATGATTCTCTCTGGTACACCGTATTGATAGATCAGGTTGTGCCGAATGAACCGTGCCACGACGTTCTTGGTTACGGTAGCAAAGGAAGCTGCTTCAACCCACTTCGTAAAGTAATCAATAGCTACAAGGATGAAATGATGCCCGTTAGATGCCGTAGGTCTGATCTCGCCGATCATATCAATGCCCCACATTGCAAAAGGCCAAGGTGATGTCAAGACGTTCAGAGGAACTGGAGGAATGTGCACCTTATCGGCATAGACCTGGCACTTGTGACATGTCCGAGAATGCTGATAACAGTCAGCTTCCATTGTGGACCAGTAATATCCTGCCCGAAGGATTTTCTTTGCCATGGTATGTCCACTGGAATGAGTTCCGAAAGTACCTTCATGCAGCTCCGCCATGATCCTTTCTGCTTCAATCTTATCCACACAACGCAGTAAGGTTGAATCATGGTTACGTTTGTAAAGAATGCCATTGTTGATGAAGAACTTCGCCGCGAACCTTCTCAGAAATTTCTTGTCATTAACAGATGCATCCTCGGGGTACTCCTGAGCTTCAAGGTATCTCTTCACCTCATGATACCAGGGCTTTTCTGTTACCTCTTCAGTCTCAAGATCACAATAATGTGCAGGTTCATCCAATTTCCAAATAATGATCCGGGGGGCCTCGTTGTCCCATTTTACTTTGAACATAGAATACATCGTAGCTAACGCGTCCGCCAACTGATTCTCTTCTCTAGGGAAATGTTCAAAGGTTATCTCCTCAAAGTGGGGAAGCAATGTCAACACATACTCCTTATAAGGAATAAGATTTAGGTGTTTCGTATCCCACTCGCCTTTGATCTGACTGATCACGAGAGCGGAATCTCCAAAGACACTTAGAAACTTAATCCTTAGGTCGATTGTAGCTTGAAGACCCATGATGCATGCTTCATACTCCGCCATGTTGTTGGTGCAGTTGAAACAGAGTCGGGCAGTAATGGAGTATGGGAGCCTTTAGGAGATATGATCACGACGCCAATGCCATTACCCAAAGCGTTTGAAGCTCCATCAAAGTACATAGACCATCAGGATCCTTCCTCAGGTCCTTCATCCGGTCCAGGTATCTCACAATCAGTCATTACAGGATATTTTCATCCGGAAATTCAAAGTTCATAGACTGGTAATCATCCACTGCGTGATGTGCCAAATGGTCTGCCAATACACTTCCCTTGATTGCTTTTTGAGTCGTGTACTGGATGTCATACTCAGTCAAGATCATCTGCCATCTTGCTATTCTTCCGGACAAGGCGGGCTTTTTGAAGATATATTTGATTGGATCCATCTTTGAAATCAACAGAGTAGTGTGAGTCAGCATATACTATCTCAGCCGGCGAGCAGCCCATGCCAAAGCACAAAAAGTTTTCTCAAGCAGTGAGTATCGGGTCTCACAGTCGGTAAAATTTTTGCTAAGGTAATAAATAGCATGCTCTTTTCGGCCAGACTCGTCATGCTGCCCCAGCACACACCCCATTGAGTTGTCAAGTACCGTCAAGTATAGGATCAGAGGTCTTCCTTCAACTGGTGGCATTAGGATGGGTGGCTCCTGGAGATACTCTTTGATTATTTCGAAAGCGGCCTGGCATTCATCATTCCAACGTACCACTTGATCTTTCTTCAGCAGCTTGAAGATTGGCTCACAAGTAGCAGTTAGGTGCAAGATGAATCGGGCAATGTAGTTCAATCGTCCCAGAAATCCTCTGACCTCTTTCTCTGTCTTGGGAGCTGGCATCTCTTGTATAGCTTTCACTTTGGCAGGGTCCACTTGAATACCTTTGTCGCTCACGACGAAACCTAGTAGTTTTCCAGACCTCACCCCGAAGGTGCACTTGTTCGTGTTCAACCTCAGCTTGTACAACTTCAATCTGTCAAACAGCTTCTGTAGATGGTCAAGGTGTTCTTCCTCAGTCTGGGACCTGGAAATCATATCGTCGACGTATACTTCAATCTCATGATGGATCATGTCATGAAACAAAGCAACCATGGCACGCTGATATGTTGCCCCAACATTTTTCAATCCAAAAGGCATGACCTTGTAACAAAAGGTGCCCCACTGAGTAACAA